GTTCCACATACATGCAGGTTAAATGACATTATAAAGTGATGCTCATTTATGACAGGGCAATTGAGGTATGTTACTTCCTAGGGTAATATTCTCCACATTACAATTTCATAATGTGCCAATCAGCTATGCAAAGTCTCTTGCTTCTAAACTTGCATCGTGCCTCTTTTTCTGTTCCTGACTCAAACCTCTAAATAGCTTCTAATGATAATCACTTGCTTAGAGAAGGCTGTAACTCTCTGCTGCTTAGTTCCTTCGTTGATTAGAACTGTAGTTTAAGATCCCTGAAAATCCTCCACTTTTCCATGTTGATACAGTTTGATTTAGTGTATTTACTACTATTTAACTTGAAATCTGGTGCATCATTACTATTCCGATCTGTTCCTTTTAGGGAATTCGAGCAGGGATATAAAGCACCATGTTTAAATCTGGCCAGCTTCAATCAGTGGGACTCAGAAATTCTTGGCTGGGTCCTTTCCACAGGGATTTCTTCAGAGTCAACCAGTGAAGTCAGTTATCTGAAGTTAACTCTGATTCAGGCCTAGCAATTTGTTCACTGGGACACTACATCTCAACAGAACAGTAATCAGAATTTGCAGGAACGCTTGGGTCAGGAAGCATAGCATGGGAGAACTAATCTGTGTCTCTTTCTCTGGTCTAGCCCACTTGGAAATGAACACAGACGTGGGCCACTGTGATCAGCATGTTGCAACCATGGGGGCAGTGTTAAGGAGGAAAGAGCAGTGGAGATGGGGTGGAGGAATGGGAGTGGGAGTGGGAAGCTGTATTTCCAGCTCCAGAACCTTGCTAGGAACTGAGAATGAGGCAGTGCATGTCCTGCAATGAGTTGTCCACTAGTTTCTGCCCCCAACATCAGAGGAAACACCAGTGTAACCAGATAGTTTCAGAAGCCAGATGCTCAATGCATCTTCTAAATATTGTGCTGTTCTAAATTTGAAGTACATAGAGCAGAAGATGCGCTCAAACTGGGCTGGATGTAATGGCAGATCTTGCCTTTCAAGGAAGATTTCCAAGTTCATGAGCACTGCCTTTCCCAAGCTGGCACTCTTAAATGGTTTGGCATTCAACCACCATAAATTGCAGCCAGCATGGCAAACAGTCAGGAGAGCTGGGAGTTGACCAAAATATCGAGAGGGTACCAATTTGAAGAAGGGTTTCCAAAGGCAAAAAGTACAACTCTAGTGGTCTTTCTTGGACAGGTGCAGCCTGAACTCATTTACATATTGCATCATCTTCCTTTTCACAGAGAATAACAATAGAACTCGGCTGGTGTCTCCTGAACATTTTAGAAACAGAGAAGCATTATTCAATTAATTTGTCAGATGCAGCCCTCAGCTCCACAACGTGTCTTGCCATTTGTGGTAATATGCCATCTGCTGATGCTATAAATGCTCATTGAGAGTGAGAACCAGTGTGGTATGCTGGTTAGAGAGTTGGAGCGGGGTCCTGGGAGATCGGGGTTCCAGCCTCCTCTCAGCCGTGAAGCTCACCGGGTGACTTTGTGTCAGTCACTCTGCCTAACCTACTTCACACGGTTGTTGTTGCGAGGATAAAATGCAGCTATGTATGCTGCCTCTTTTCCTCACAAAGAGGGAAAGGGCAGGATATAAATACCATGAGAGAATAGTAATTGACTTGGAACATGTTCATAAAAAATGGATTGAATTAGTTCTAGAACATGAATTTTTCACTTCTAAATTTCCGGTCTCATTGACGTTCTCACTGTCAGATTCTTGGCCCAGTGGGCATGCTCGAATGGCGTGACTGCTGTCTCGGTCCTAGGCGACATGTGTGCTTCTCTGAAAGCATAGCTGCTTGTATAGATGTAGGTGCAGTTCAGGCAGAGTAGAACCACATCTGAGAAGCCACCCAGAATCTCCAGTTTCCCAGGTGGCAGCCTTCACCATTGCAGGCGCAGAAGCACATACATATCAGAAAGTTATCACATTAATGGTATAATAAGGAAATGGGATCCAGGTTCTCCATGAATTGGAACCACAGGAATGGAAGGGAATAATAAGCATAATCCCATACTACTTTACATTTACTTATGCTGTAGATGGTTATTATGGACAGAGTTGTTTTTTTCTCATGGAAATCTAGCAACCATAAATGGCTACAATTAAGCTTGCTGTGTGTACTGCTTCTGTCTCGTATGAGGCACAATTAGTTCCTACTGATCCATCTGGTATAAAATTACTTTGGAAGCATGATCCTGCCATGCTGCAGGGATTGCGAAGATGTAGTAGATACAAGAGGTTAACAGAGATGGCACTCTGCAACTGACACCTTCGTTATTCTTACTGATATGAACAAAATAACGGTTGTTCCACAGTAAGAAGCTACTCTCTGTCATGTGATCTACTCTGCCCTATTTTTTTTTGACAATGGTGATTTCTGTTACTTGTCTTTTCCGTAATGTAGGGGGGAAACAACCACCTTTATCATCTCCCCAACTCAATTCTGTCCTCCTTCAGATTGTTTTCTGCTGTTATGAATGTACAACTTCTTCAGCTTTTTACTACTTGTAGTTCCTCCTCCTTTTGCTTTCTTTCACATCCTTGCTTACCCATCAGTATTGCAGTAGTGGCCTCGATCCAGCATGCCATTGGCAGAAGAAATTGTACAAGCAGAACCCAGCAGTCCTCCTATTGTGCAAGTGTTAGTAGACCACTTTGTAAACCTGAGATATCCAAGTAGTTGCACGAGCAGAAATTCAGTTGGATTCTCCACTTAAGTATAATTCAGAACTTGGCATACACCAGCAGAATATCATTTGGCCTAGCAGAATGGCATCTTTTGATACAATCTACTGTGCTCTATCTCAGTTCCTGGAAAGAATTATATGAACAAGTATAATGTGTTCAGATCACACAGTAACAAAATCCATACATAGAACTGAAATAGAGTGCTGCGTTTTTGGTTTGGTTTGGTTTGGTTTTGTTTTGTTTTGGAGAAGCTGGCATGTTGAATGACCTGTATGACATCTGTAGTTGTAGAATCATGTATTTGCACAAAGGGAGAAGTTAATTTAATTGAGTTTAGCACACTAAGGTTCTTGTACTGAACTAATTCATGCCCATGGCATACAAATATATATGTTGTAGGTCCAAAGAAAGTAAAAGATATCATGCTACAATATGAGATTCTGAAACCCTGCCTTTTTGCTGCACAAATATTGTTGCCTTCACACATGTTTACATTGCATGTATTGGACACTTAGATGCAACAGTGCAGAACCAAAATAGCTGTTGTCCATGGTGAGCATAATTTTATCTGCATTTGGCTTACCTGAATATCATGGGTCTCTGTCTAAAGCAGGGGTCTCAAACTCGCGGCCCACGGGCCAAGTGCGGCCCGTGGGACGATATTTTGTGGCCGCCACTTGATATCAAAGTTTAGTGATAGTGCGGCCCATGCGTTTTTCTCACACGCACCTGCGTGAGTCGTTACCCTGGGCACACTGTTCCCCCTAAGCTGCACGCCGGGACTGGCGGGGCACGGGGGAGGGGCCCTGCGCCCTTCAAGGCGCCGGCGGAGCCCCGGCTGGCCTCCGGGAGCCACGCGGGATGAGCGGCCCACCCCCACCACGGTGGTGGAATACTTGATGCGGCCCAGCCTCACCCAGACTCTTACTTCCAACGGCCCCCAGGTAAGTTGAGTTTGAGACCCCTGGTCTAAAGCTTAGAGACCATTGATTCTGATCTGTGCACTCCTTCTTAGAGTCCAAGCAGTATAATACTGATCTTAATCATTGGTGTGCATAAAAGCCACAATACAACTTAAAATTAAGCACTTTTAAGTTCATTGATTTCATTGATGTCAATTAAAGAGCAATCCATTGAGAAGTCATCGGGAGAACTGCTCTTAGCCATCAAGCTTCCTGATTTGCTGGACTCGACAAAATGCATCACAGTGTTAGGAAATAAGGTGCTGATGCTGCTCAACAGCTTATTCTCTTCTGTCAGTGCCAGGAAACAATGGATCAGGTCATGGCCAAGTCTTACTTCAGGTAGATCCTTTGAATTAATTAGTCATTACTTAGCCTCTGTCTGAGACATTGTTCATACTAATGCGGCAGTGATGCCTGTCATCAGCCGTGATATCCCAATACTTCTTTTTTTAAAGTAAGTTTTATTATTACTATTTTCTACAAACTAAAAAAGCAAACTAAAAACATCAATCATCAGAGACATCAGACCTACTGGGTCAGCCCCCCATTTTTTTATAGCAATCCGTAGATATACTCAAATCTATGCATAGTCCCATTTCTCTAGCCAGTAATAAAAAGAGTTCCAAGTGTGATAGAAGTTTGTATCCTCTTTCTCCTTCAGAGAGAAAATCAGCCTATCCATTTCAGCACAGTCCAGAATCTTTTTTAAAATCAGTTCATCAGTGGGTGGTTCTTCACTCCTCCAGTGTTGGGCAAATACAATCCTTGCCTCAGTAATTACATGCCCAATCAAATACATTGCTTGTTTATCAACATCATCAGACACAATGCCTAATAAAAAGACTTCAGGTTTAAATATTAAAGATTTTTGTAACATTTCCTCAAGCCATTTATGTATTTTAGCCCAATTTTTTTTTGCCTTATCACAAGTCCATCACATATAATAAAAAGTACCAGGTTTATGTTTGTATTTCCAAAATCCATTTGACATATTTGGAAACATCTTTGCTAGTGTATTTGGCGATAAGTACCATCTATAAAACATTTTATAAAGATTTTCTTTATATGAGGTTGCTAAGGTTACCTTGATATTTCTTTCCCACAACTTTTGCCATTTCCATAACTCAATATTATATCCAAAATTTTGTGCCCATGTTGTCATAGTTTCCTTAACTTGTTCATCTTCCATTCTCATATCCAAAAGAAAATTATACAGTCTTTTAATCATTTTTCATCTGATTTTAAGATCACTTGGTCAAATGTTGCTAATTCCGTATAAAACCCCCACATTTTATCATCTTTAACATACCTCAGTTGTATTTGAACCTTATGCCACCAAGAGATACTAATACCCTGCTCGATATCCCAGTACTTCTGACTGCCAGGAAGCTTCTAATCTGTGGGTCACCACTCTTATGTCTGTAATAAGATGATGATGGAATATGATGCTGTGGCCAAACAGCTCTAAATTTAGTCAGTGTCTCTACTGAAGAACTTTTGGCATCCATGGTAGTAGAAACTTGAAATATTCTAAATAAATGAAATGGATATTTTCATCCTGCTTTTTCCCAAGGAGTTCAGAGCAGCTTATATGCTGGTTATCCACACAGTGACCTTATTTATTGAGCTACAATGTGTGCTGACCCTGAAACATATGAGACATGGCCAATATGCTAGACAAAAGATCTCCAGATGAGTACACTTTCCACATGAACATGACTCATCACTGTGACGCTCATAGCAAAGTTGTTCTGCAGCCAGGATTTCTTCATCTGTTGGGCAGTGAAATCCTGTACCTTCGTATCTGTTCTTTTTGGAAAAAAATAGCTTACAGTTTGTTGGTGTATTTTCACCTCCTAAATGCCCGTCTCAGTATATCCAAAATTGCAATATTCAATCAAATTATCCCCTGATATATATCAAAAATGTCCTAAATTATTTTGGGCCATATTTTAATATCTTTGCTTTTCCAAATAAATGATCTGTAAAATCTAGTAATTGCAGTGATTTCCCTTGCCAGATCACTGGAGTGGCAGTTAAGGGTCGGCATTATAACAGCAACAAATTAATCAGAAAAGCCCATCTCCAAGCACATCCATACAATGACTTCAGTGTGGAATGGCCCCCAAATGCCTCTTAATTTTTCTTTTCTGCATACTATGGCTGTATCACATCATGGGACATTAAGCATATTTCAGCTCACAGGACTGACTCAGTTTTGTTTGTAGATACTGAAAACGAATGTTGGAACTGGATGAATGATAGTACCGAAGCAATAACAATTTCCTAGTAGGCTTGCTTGTTTAATGGATTGCGTACACTTTTGGCTTGTAAACATCACAATTTGTTTTACTAACTGAAATAGAAAGGCCCCCACCCACAGCCCCAGCAAGCTGTTGAAGCTAGGCAGGGATTTTGATTGAGTGACGTGAACTATGGCAAGTTGTCACAAAGAGTATAATTCATATTTGGCCATCTCTGCGACCTGAGCATCCTGAGCACTGTCTCACTCTGTCCAAATACGGAGGATATTCGTCAGGCATTCTCACCGGTGTAGAACCTCCTCCTCCCTGAGATCTGAGCACTTACCAGAAGGGATACAAGATGCAGAAATTGTAGGCTGCAGGTCTGCACACTTTTGGGTTTCACAGAACTCTTTCATCAGATAGTAGAGTCATGCAAAATGTCAAATGCCCCAAACTCACTGCTGGTTGAATAAATTACACCATTTCCTGCAATTGTCATTTTTTTTCTGTTGGCCAAGACAGTATCGCATGTTGCTTAGTACTGGACTGGGACTGAAAAGCTCAGGAATATGAGATCTACTAGGTGGCTTTGGGCCTGTCACTGAGCCATTTTGCATGATCACTGCAGCTCATCATGGCTTATGTAAGGCATGATAGGTTGTGGTGTATGCCAGTGGCCATTTTGAATATTTGGCCGTCGGTTGTGGGTTGCTGTGATTTGCTGAATTGCCCTAATTAGGTTGGCACAGTTTGTTGGAAGGGGAAATAATCCTCCAACAAGCCATGCCACACAGGTTTGGACGGCACACCAAGGCATGGCCATCTCCTGCTAGAATTTGCATATTCAGAATGGCCACTGGCACGAGCAACAATCCTTCTGGGCTCCGAACAGCTGGGATCCCTGTGAACTGGCCCATTGACTCTCTGCCTAACCTATCTCACTGGGTTGTGGTCAGGATAAAATGGAGATGAAGAGGACCACGTGTACTACCCTGGCTTCTTGGAAGAGGGGAAAAAAGGCAGGATTTAGATGTAAAAGTGGATATTAAAATGTTTTTGTATCACTTTTCAGTGCATGGGCCAAACAAAGCTTGAAAAGGTTAAAGAACAGGATCAAGCACAGTCTAATTCACATAGGAGGCCCAGAGCACAGAGTTGCATAATTTTCAGGCTGATTTTTTCCCCATAGTAGGTTAGGAAGTTCTTACAATGTTCTGCAAGGCTTTTGGACTGGGATGTATAATTAATCAGCATGCACACATGGGTACCACGTAGCATCAAATGTTTCAGCATGATCTTGAACAACTTTCATATGATGTGTATGTTTGTCTGTTAGTAAATGCTCCTAAGGCCTCTGAAACCACACCTTTAAAGATACATCTACTGAACTTTCCACTGGCTTGCTGCTGCTAAATGGTGTTAAAGAACAATTTTTATACAAAATATATTGCAGATCCTTTGGAAAGATATTTAGAAGGCCCAGTGCTGGTGTTTTGATATTTTATTTGGTTATATTCATTATTTCTTTGAAGACTTTGTTCCAAAATGCCTAGTCCTTCAACATTTATTTGAAGCTATTTTTAAGAAATTTTGTACCTTGTAAGGGTTCAATGCCACCAAGAAAGTGCCTTCTTTTAATTTGGATTTTTAAATACTGGGATTTTGGGAGCTGATTTTTAAAATCCTAGATAGCTACACCTATGCTTACTATCATGTTTAAGTTGCTTTCAGAGAGGTGCAGGAGCAAAATTCAGAATACTTAGGATTTTAATATTTTACTGGAGACTTGCAACTGTGAACCAAAAGGTCATTAAACTTGTGATCAATGTTAAGAAGAAGAAGAACTGAAACCACAGTGTGTGGCTTTTTTCTGCTTTGCACTGAGACTTTCAGGCCCTGAAGTAACAAACCTAACTTGCACTGGATTCATTCTGTTCCTTTTGAAGGACTTACACTCCTTCTTGGCGCTTGGCAACCAGGATAAAGTAAAAGCTTAGATAACACAGAGATGGCTTATCAGCTGTACTGTTCATGCCATGTTTTTGGCTGAACACTGTAGAAATGAAGGGATGAAGGAAAGCACAAAACGGTTCAGGCATTATCAGCATGCTGCCAAGCTTCGTTCTTTAAGATCAAAGAGACTTCCCTACACTTTAGGAATTCTAATCCTTGAGTTTAACTCATGCACAACACTCCAGTGCTGGTGGGTGGAAAAAGAAAACAAACACATAATGAATTCGGTAAGAGCATTGTGGGCTGGTAAGGAGATTGTGGCAATTGTGACAAAAATCTAGGTCTAATGATTTTTCCACACACAAATTAATCCCTAGATTTAATTTAGTTAATAAGCCAGGAATGGTGCTTGAGGTCTCTCTCAATGCAACAGCACTTGATGTCTCTCTTGATGTCAGTGGACTTGGTTATGTCCAGCTCAGGGAGGCGGAGAAGCCAGTCGCTTTTTGCTAAAGCCATTAGAGAAAGAGGCATTTGTCTTTTCAAACCCATCTGAATTAGATGTTATCATTGACACAAAATATGCTATTGCTTACTTAGTAAAATAGACTTCAATTATGACATTTAAATTAGACATCTTTGAAGACAAAGCAAAGCATAAAAGAGCCGTATTTCTGTGCCATGGATTTCAGGCAGGCATGTTGCAGGGCAACCGGCTAGCAAAAGTGAATGGACAGACCTTGGGAGCAACATGCATCACATGATCCTGACCTCATCTTTTTTTTCCCCTCATACATACGTACATACAAAGAAGCAAACAAAAGGCTGACGTTGGCCGACGTTGGCCATTATTTCTCTGCAACAGATGCCTGGAGCACAGAGAAGGGCAACGAAAAATATCAAGGGGCTAGAGCAGCTCCCCTGTGAGGAGGGGCTGCAACAGCTGGGGCTGTTCAGCTTAGGAAAAAGGCGAGTAAGGGGAGGCATGATGCAGGTGTTCAAAATCATGCACAGTGTGGAGAAAGTAGAGAGGGAAGCATTTTTCTCCCTCTCCCATAACTCTCAAACCCAGGGTAAGATTAAAGGGCGGGGGGGTTGGGTGAGATAGAAAGAACTTCCTCACGCTGTGTAAACTTTGGAACTCGCTGCCCCTGGAAGTGGTGATGGCCGCCAATCTGGGGGGCTTAAGGAGAAGAGAAAGAATGAGTCTGAGCAAAAGGAGATCAGAGGGATTTCTCTTATTCTAAGAACAAAAGAAAAGCCTTGCTGGATCAGACCCAAGCTCCACGCAGTCCGGCACTGCAGGCACACAGTGGCAAACCAGCTGCCAGCAGGATCCCTCAGGCAGGGTGGGTGCAGGACCGCCTCCGACCCAAGCTCCTCAGCAACCGGGGCAGGCAGGCAGGCAGGCAGGCCACCTCTGGTGATGGAGGCAGCCCACGGCCAGCAAGGCTGCGAGCCGCCAATGGCCTCCTCCCTCGTGGATCTGTCCACTCCCTTGTTAAAGCCCCCCAGATTGGCGGCCATCACCACTTCCAGGGGCAGCGAGTTCCAAAGTTTACACAGCGTGAGGAAGTCTTTATGGAACTGAATTTTGTGAAAGGTTTTGAAGTGCACCATGCACCAAGGGTGTGATGTGTGTTCTGCACACCAGAGCTAGGTGAACATATGTGGGTGGAAACACTGTACTGGACATTAGAAGTAGTGTGAATACTCTTGGAATTTACATAGCTTTTATTCAGAAAAGCTTAGTAAAACCCTCAATGCATGATAAGAAGAAAATGCATTTATTACATTTCCTAGAAAGAAGGAATTGTCTTTGCCAGACATAATGATTATCGGTGGGGCTCGGGGCAAATGCTCATAATAAGGGCAGAACATGTGCTCAGGAAGTCACATCAATGTTTAAACTTTGATTTTGCAAATCAGCTCTATCTAATAAGTCCTAAATGACTTACATTTCAAATTTACATATGAAACTTACATTTGAAACAAACTTACATTTACATTACATTTCACTTCTGATCTTCAGTTTTTGTTAGGATCCAGTTTCCAGCACGTCTTATGGGTAATTCCTTCCATATCACTTTCTTTCTGAAGCAGGAGAGTTTTTCTATCACACATAACTTATCTTGTTTAGCACCTTCTCCCTGAAGATTGGCAGTCCTTCTTTTACTGAAAGAATCCATTGTTGCCTGCTAAAATTTCATGAAATGATGCTGGATTTTCCAGCCCAACAGCTAATAAGGGTGGCTTAGACTAATGGACCACCAAAGGAAATAGGAATGGAATTCATTAACTCCCTGAAAGTCCTTGTTAATAGGAGCATGGGGTAGTTGAATTATATGGACCAGGTGAGCAAGAGAAATACCAGCCAACATCTATTTGCTTGGAATTTTTTTTATGAATTTAGAACATTTCATACCTGAGGTATTGTAAAGCAGTTCCCTCACCTTAAAACAGCAAAGTCTTTGGATAGTCAGATTCTTCCAGAAATCGTACCAAGTTGCATTTCTGTGTGATACCTTCAGTTGTGGTGGAAGGATGCTACAGTAAGGTGTCCTGGAAGTAGCATATATGTCTGAATTGCCTGCATCTGATTCAGGATCTGGTACATTGCCTTCCAAAATGTCAATATCCCTGGTGCCGATATTTATTGTAAATGTATGCAACATGTAAACAATATTTGGGAAGAAGATTATCACATTGTTACTGTACAAGACAATGGCCATGAAGAAAGGAATATCACTCAAAAAAGAGAAACGAACATACAGTAGAAAGAGAACTACGTATGCAGTGCAGTATAGACTCTGACCCCCAGGTTCTTCTGACATACATACAAAATTTGCTTTGATTTTGTTGTTATTTCAAACATAGATACTCTAGTCTTGACAGCAAATAAATGTTTCTGCACCTGAAGCAAACTCATAAGATCCTAGGATACTTGCTAATAAATTTAGCACTCATTTCATCAAAAAGGAGAGCTGTCAGAAGGCAGTGTCCTGAATTCTCAGTCTGATTTGGGCATTTCATCCAGACGTGAAACATGGGAAAAAATGCACATATCCTTGAAATATCAGTGCAAGATTAGAAACAAACAGGTAAAAACAAACAGTGCGTTACATTTCAGAGGTGATGAGTACAACCAGATGATCTAAAATATTACCAAGAATTTAAACTGCATGAGAAAATAGAAATAATGCCAAAGAGAATACACGGTCAGTATCTGTCTTGCCTCTCATAATGGTATTCCAAAGTTGATGTCCTGTCAGTAGAAAAACTTCCTCTTTCACATGTGTATTTGTATCATAATACAGATACCATAATATAATGAGAGCCAGTGTGGTGTAGTGATTAACAACTCAGACCTTCTGAGTTCTAGTCAGCCATGGAGTCAACTGGGTGACACTGGGCCAGTGACAGAGTGTCATTCCAACCTGCCTATGCAGTTGTTGCTTGGGGATAAGACCAAGAGCAGTAGGAGGAGAATGATGTAAGCCACTTTGAGTTCTTTAACAGAAAAAAGGTAGGATATAACTCAAATAAATGAGTAAAGGCAGGATATAACTCAAATAAATGAATCTCCTATCATTAGAACTTGGAGGAGGACCTCCCCTGATAACTTGATGCGTATTTTCAGCATGCATGTAACAAATGAAATACCCAGCATGAGAATCAAGCAGGATTGATGACATGGTTTCTAGATTTGGTATACTTGGGTAGTAGGAAGCTTCACGTCGAAGGGCAAGTTCCCATGTTATATTTGTGGTATGGGAGCTGCTTTTCAATGAATATCTGTATATTAGAACCATGTGAGTTCATGCATTCCCCCTGCCCCCATTGTTAACTCAGTTTGCACAAGCAAAACGACTCACTGCGACTAATTTAAGCCAGGGCAGGCTACAGTGCAGTTAGGCAGGATTTGAACATCCACCCCTCAGGCAAGGTTAGGCTGATTGTATAAACTTGGACAGGGCAGGTGGAAGAACCATTGCACAACCCCTCCTTCCCAGAGTTGCACTCAATGACAAGCTGGGCTTGTGACTGGGCTTTGCATATTCCAAATGGCCATCAGCCTGCAATAACTTGAAAGGGGTGCCTCGGCCTGCAGTCTTCAGCAAGAGTTCCGTGGAAAGGGAAGGGACCAGCATGTGCGTGAGAAAGCAAGATCCAAGTCTCAAATGCTATGATGTTTGTTGCCATGACGATATGTCACGAAGTGTCACCGTAATAGAAAATGTTCCAATCCTTTATGCAATTCTTGTGTTGGTCTCTTCTTTTCTTTATTCTAGTGCTGGAGTTGGCAGGACTGGCTGTTTCATTGTAATAGATGCTATGCTAGAGAGAATAAAGCATGAAAAGACTGTAGATATTTATGGCCATGTAACTCTAATGAGAGCCCAGAGGAATTACATGGTACAAACGGAGGACCAATACATCTTTATCCATGATGCACTGCTTGAAGCAGTGACATGTGGAAATACCGAAGTGCCAGCCAGAAACCTGTACGCATATATTCAGAAGCTGACACAGATAGAAGCAGGCGAGAATGTCACAGGAATGGAACTGGAATTTAAGGTACTTCACATAAAGGGTTCTCTGCTGTTTCCTTGGGGTACCTGTTCCACGGGGGAAAGAAGCAGGCTGGATTTGAAATTGTTCTAGGACAAAGGCATGCCTTGGTGTCAGTTTGCCTGCAAAAGGCCAGCAACAGGTTCCAAATGGTGTACTAATAAGCCTTTTCTCTCTCTCCTGCAGCGGCTAGCCAGCTCTAAAGCTCACACTTCAAGATTCATCAGTGCCAATCTTCCATGTAATAAATTTAAAAATCGCCTTGTTAATATTATGCCATATGAAACCACAAGGATATGTTTGCAGCCTATCCGAGGGGTAGAAGGCTCTGATTATATCAATGCCAGTTTCATTGATGGATACAGGTATTTTGAATAAGGTTATTTTGCGATGAAAATGGTTATTATTTACAAATGAATCATTTGCCAGCAGGCAGATTTTTCTCACTATCACATGATTATTGTTTAGGGTCTCTTCTGACTTTTATGCAAGCCACCACATCGTCATAGTTCCTTTCCATACACATCAGCAATCTCAGAAATCCCCTCACTGAGGTTGTTAAGGATAGGAGCTGTACTGTCGCCTCTCACTGGCCAACATCTTTTTCCAGCATTACCAGAGTGGTGTGGAAGGATCAGGTACTGCTGAGGCTCCAAAGTTACAACAAAGACAACCAGAAAGGCCTCTTTCTCTAACGCGGCCTCCATGGGAATGCAATTTGCACTTCATGTTTCTCCTTCTGAATGTGGGCAGTCACATTCTACCACTACGTTCTTCTGTGCTTCAGCTTAAGATCTTAAGATCTGCAACCTTCACCTTGATGGTCTAATCCTATTTTGACAGTAAAACCCACCAGCAGATGGTACAGAAATATACTGTGTCCATTAAGAACTTACATCCAGCTGCAGGACTGGATTTAACCTACTGTGCAGACGTTGAATGGGTGCGGACCAAACTTCCTCGTATGGATGGTGGACTTGCACTTGTGGGGAGGGAAGTATGACTGTTTGTCTCGACAGGTGTAAAAAGTGAACTACTCTACCTTTGCGTCATGAATTCAAAATTTGGCTCACTTTTGCTGATGTTCTTGAACCACTGAAAGTGTTAACAACAAAGTGCTGCAGAGCTATAAGTCATAAACTTAATAGGCTGTATGACAGTCAGTCTCAAACACAAAAATGGAGATATGCCACTAAGTGTTTCCTAAGTGCTTTCTGCGACACACAAAATTGAGCTATTAGAGTTGCATTAAAATTTAAACAAGATAAAGGCATAAATCACAATATTAACAGAGCAATTTCTTTCACAAACTTCCAAAAATAAAACAATGCTATTGTTTGATTAAACAATATTTAATATGTTTTTAATGTGCTTACAATCAATAATTTATAACTGTACATTTCTTAGAATGATGTTTCAGCAGAATGTTTACATGCAACTAGAGAGTCTTTGACTTCCTTTGATTGGTAAATGTTTGCTCTTATATTTTAAATTTAGGCAACAAAAAGCCTATATAGCTACACAGGGACCTTTGGCAGAAACAACAGAAGATTTCTGGAGAATGCTTTGGGAGCACAATTCAACTATTGTAGTCATGCTTACTAAGCTACGAGAAATGGGCAGAGTAAGTATGTGGCCTGTTTCCAGAAAGTAAATGTCAAAAATTAATTTGGCATAGGAAGTGCAACAACAAGAACAGCCATTTACAAAGAATGAAGGCAATTACTCCTGCTAGGCCAGTCAGTACGGGGGCAGGCAGTGTGGACTGGAAAAGACGCTAATCCGTGTACAAAGCATGCATGTATGAAGATAGCATGTCTAATTCAAAATGAGTTCTTTGTGCTCTTCCCCAACATCTTCATCCTGTGGAAAATGTACTTGCTAACATTGTATGTGCTGAGCAGCTGCTTTCCAGCCTGTATCCTGTAGAACTCTTTCTTCATAACAAGATCAGTCGTGGAAGGTGGATTTCCCTGAGAAATAGCTCGCCCATCACTGCATATTTTCCATGATGCACTCATGGAAGTGTACTGAGCATGTCAGGGAAAGGGTGGGACAGGACCCCAAAATGTTTTAAGCCAGAGAAGCACTTTGGAGAAAGTGACATGAGCGTTCTCACAAAAGGAATTCCAGAGTGCAGCACATACTTTGCATCATTCCAAGTTCAAAATAAAGTGTAATTTAAAAGATGTTATAAGAAATCAGCAAAAAGTCAGAAGGTCTTGGGAACTTGGCAGATGCCTAAGATGAGGACTTCAGGGCCAGGGTAACACCCTTCCTCTTGACAATTTTCTGTGGGGGGGGGGGTTGGTGGTGTTGGTTTTGTTTCTGTTGGGTTTTTTTTAATTTTCCATGAAGAAATGTTCAGTTCTGCAGACTGAAGTGCAGACACAGGGTTACCCTTCAGGCGTTTTTAAGAACTAAGCCAGTAAGGCCCAACGGACCTGACTGGTTACTGTTAGAACCTGGGTTTGTGATCTATCCCTTGCCCAAGACTCTAGAATTTTGGAGGAATAACAGAGAAAAGAAGGACTAGGTAGTATAAGTCAAAGCACCAAAGATGGAGAAAGGGATCCAAAGAAGCATCTCCCCTTGTTGACCTAAGGACTTCCACCCAGGTCCTCTCCCAGGCATTCCCAGCCTCCAGCCTGATGCTTTCTCATGACAAATGTTCCATGGAATCACATCACAGGAGAGTTCCACCTTCATGACCTGTCCACAGTTTAAACGCTATCTCTGATCTTCATCCAAACTCACAGAGCTGCTGTACGCTGAAGCCATTCAGTCACATAATTATGCAAAACACATGCACATGGCTATAATCCCAACATATCACACTGGTGTGTACAAGAACAGTATTTTCAAGGTATTTGGTGGTGTCAGTGGCAGTAGTACTGAAGAGCCCACTCCTTTCTGCATTGTCAGCAAGGGTATTCAATACATACTTTTAAGATGCAAATTAGAAACTGTAGAAACTATGGAAAAAACATTCCTGGCCAGAACAAATGACATCTTAAGTGCTAGGTGATGATGATGCCATTGTTCATTGCCTGACCATTGTTGGTAAAGATACATTTCGTGATTGTGCTCTAGGAAAGCTTTTTGTGCTTTATGTGGGCAATCAGTTCTAATATGCCAGTCTAGAATCCTGGGATTGTTTTAGGTCTGTGGGTGGTTTATTAAGCTCACCAATGAGCCGCCTTCACTGATAATGCAAGCCGCAAGGAAGGGACGGGTTCTAAGACAGGCACCCATAAGCAACTGGTATATGCCAGAAACCATGGTCTGAACCCAGTCATTGTGCTGAGAGGCTTCAAAAGAGTCCCCACCAGAAGATTAAAAAAAAAAAAAAATAGGAAAGGTGCTCACCCAGAAGCCCCCAGTCAAACATTTCCTTCATAACTTGTTGAACAAAGAACTTTTACAAGGTTGTAGTTGCTCCATCCAATTCAGGCAGACCAGTGTACTACACAGAAGCAGAGCTTGTCAGATCAGTGGGTTCAAACATCCCAGCATCTAACTGGAAGCTAGTAGATGGTGGGTTGTGTGCAGCTTTTGGAAAAACTATCTGCGTTTACACCTGGACTGCTGCTGCATAAACTGCAGGCTGCAGCATGTTCCTGGCTTGGTAACACACTGATAGGTTCCATTTCCAGGTGCTCTTCTGTTTCTTTTACTGACATCACACATTAGTTTTGGGTGGCCTCATTGAAAGGACTGACATACTCCCTCCTCTCTATATATGTCATGCTTCGATTCTGTTCAAATATGTACTGCATGTTTGTACACCTAAAATAACAATAGAAATAAAAGATAGAAGATACGTTTGTTCCAGGCTGGGTAATGATACACTATCCTTGCATTTTCTCTTGGAGAGGGCAGGAGAGGTCACATGCTCAAAATGTTTGAGCAGTACCATCTTAGGCACAGATCATGCCCTGAGCCTGGCCGTTCCCTGGTCGCAGTGTCTGCTTTTGTGCCGCATCACTAGCATAGCATAGCATAGCATAGCTTTGGAGTTGCAAGAGCACAAGCCGTTCCATCCCTTTTCTGGGTATAGCATATGTTTTTGAAGGTGCGTGTATGATTTCTATCCCGGTCAGGGTGTCTTATTTCCACACCGAGTACCTACTACACTCAAGAGTTCCACCACTTCTGAAAGGTAGAAGGCTTGTATTCATGTACAACAGTACTTCTCAGCTCTGTGAACACGCCCAGGTGGATTTCTTCTGTCAGAAGAATCAAAGCTGTGAACAAATTGCTTCCCACTCAGGAAGCTCAATATGCTGTCAGCCAGGCTGAAACATGAGTCATTTGTACCATGCCACAGTAACTGGCTCTTTCTAGAGAGCACGATGGCTGCACCAAAATGGTCCAGACACGATGCCAGTTTGGAAGCCATTCTCAAAGCCTTCCAATAAGAGGATCGAGCGATCCTGGAAGAGGAACAATTCCCGCTGTGAACATGGAAAAGGGAGGCTACTATTCATATCATTTTGCAAGTGCAGGTGTAAATTTCTACACTATTTGAGTCATTATTCTGTCTGCAGGCATACTTGGATAAAGGATACTCTGTACTGTGTGCAGCAGACATGCACTGGGTGCGATTAAACAGGGCTGCTCCGCAAGCAGAAAGGAGCGAGTTCCCTGGAGTGCCCCGTGGTCCCTGCATATCTGCGTCAGAGACTTGGGGACCTCTGGAAAGACTGGGGGAGGCTTGGGGTCTGGTCTGCCTAAGGGAGAAGAGGGCAGGGGATATCCCACTGTACAAGCAGTGTCCAACCCACCGCACTGCTTTAAAAACAGACCTTGATGGAAATACTCTGCAACCTCAGTGTCAGCTGTCTTCAGTGTGAGTGTCAGCATTTGAATACTACTCAAAATTCAGGAGGACTCCTTGCCTAAATTTGATTCTGAGAACTTGAAATATTCAATAGTTATGTGAAAAAGATGCTGAGCCACTTAAACATAGAGCTGTGTCAATTTGTTGTTTGAAAAGTCATGTGCGTCCTTAGTTCTATGATTCTGAGAGAAAACAGTTGATAATATTTTTAATATGGCAGGCTATTCTAATGAAATGAGTGCAAAGCTGGCTAAAATGCTGAGTCGTGCCTTTATTTCTTTGATTCACAGGAGATGAATATTTCATGATCTCTGTAGAAACTTGCCAGAGCAGTGAGTTGCTAGTCCTCAAGCACCAAAACAAAACAAAACAAAACAAAACACCACCATAAGGTTAAGGAAAGACTTTTTAGTCACACACACACTAATTCACATACCCCAGGATTGTTCCTCCAATTTCCTGTAGTGCAAGCAGCATGCCTGTGTACAGCCAGCGCTAAGGTGCCTTTGAGGTCCATAAGGAAGCAGCGTGCTCCCCGCACCCATCCCCAGCACCTGAGGCTGGGGAGCCACAGCGGGTGAAGGCTGCTGCCTTCCTGACCAGCTTGCAAGCTTTCCAAAGATCTCTGACTGGGCAATGCAGGACACGGCACGTTGGACAGGAGAGACATTTGGTCTGATCTGGCAGGACTGTTCTTCTGATCTTCAGATGTAATGTAAAAGGCAAAGTTTCGAGCTGCATTGCCTGTATCTTAGCTTAACCTTTTTCAAAGTCAAGATAAAGTTATATCAGAATGCACAGAACTTCTGTGGGAGACAAAGGGGGCAGGGTGAAAACCAAGCAAGCAAACAAGAAACTGGATTTTTTTTTTCCTTTGCAGGAAAAATGCCACCAGTATTGGCCAGCAGAACGCTCAGCCAGGTATCAGTACTTTGTGGTGGATCCCATGGCAGAGTACAACATGCCGCAGTATATTTTAAGAGAATTCAAGGTCACAGATGCCAGGGTAAGTTAAACATGGCATGTTCGAGTTGCCTCGTGCGTTGAGGTGGGGCAGCGTTGCTTTGCTTTTTACGAGCTTTGATTCCAGGCTTGCTTTACTGATTTACACCGCAACCAAACTGCCCTGGTCAGAGACCTGGTTGTGTTTCAGTCCTCCTCATCCTCCGTGGGGAGTGTTGTGCTTTTCCATCCATGTTATCCCCTAGTTAGCCAATATGATCCCCCATAAGGTATCTGCAAACCCAGCAATAGATCACAACAGATTGTTGCTTGCTTGCTTATTTAGTTATAGGCTGCAATCCTGTGGTCTGTAGAAAGGCATTTCAGGGGCTAGGGGATGTTTTGTATCTTTCTCTCTGAGGGCAAAAGCAAAGGGCAGCTCTCCAAATCCTCTGTGAGGTTGAAGAAATGCCCACAGCTGGTGCTTCTCCACATCAGCTCTCCAGTGTTGGGCAGCATAAGAAAGAGGCATTTCCGGGCGCTTCCTGGGCTTTCCAGGGAAGACTGTATCAGCAGCAACCAAATCTCCCACTGTGCCCTCAGCATCTCTCCAGAATGGGGAAGAATGTTCTTGGCCCTGGATATGACCCATGGAAAGCAAGAGCTAAAAAGAATGAAAACAGCTGAGAAGGGCCAAATGAAACAGGGGAAAGACCCCAGGAGTCAATGAAACATTAGAAACCGTTCCTCTGCCTCGTTTCTTCTTGGATTGCTCTGGCTGGATTGCTCTGCCCAAGCCCTTTTCCGCTGGATTGCTCTGCCCAGGCCCTTTTCCGCACTTTTTAGAGCTGCACCCTCACAAAGTAATATACGAGCAAGAGCAAGATTCAAAAAATGTAATTTCCACATCAGTAAGCATGCAGGATGCATTGAAAACCTACTGCGAGATATTCACAGTTTCAGTTAAAGGCAACATTGAAGAGGACGCTCTTTGGGTCTCACCTGGATGTCCACATAAAAAGGGCACGGTGCAGTTCAATGCGAATTGGGTTCCACGTCTTGGGGGCGCCACTGGAAAGGTCTTTTCTCTGGGGTGAATCAGCCTAAGCAGTCCTTAGAGCAGGCATTCCAAAAGGACCCGCGTGGCTGATACTAATGAGATAAAGGTGGTTCTTCAAATAGCTGGATCCACACCACGTAGGGCTTTGAGGTGACATCATAGAATAGTTGCATTGAACTAGCCGCCATTCATAGAATAGAGGCCATCAAGTCCATCTCCCTGTTCAGTGCATGACTCCATGTTAAAGCATGCCTGGCAGAGAGCCGTCCCATTGCTTCCAGTGTGGGAGAGCCCACAGTCCAGCACTCCAGACTGGTCCCAAAACCTTACTAGCAGCTGTGCTACTGGAGTAAATTCCTAGTGACAATTTCAGAGTTCCCCAGAGCCACCCGGATCCGAGCAGACACTCTGCTGTCTGTTAGGCACCAGAAGGATGCGCCTGGGAAACTGCTCACCTGTAAGAGCAGGGCTGCCCCATCAAGGGCTTGGTTGGCAACACTAGGCAGACTTGTCGGCTTCTCAGAATGCCTGTCGGGCACGAGTCCAAGGGTTATCCTGCCTTCCTTGGATTCTTAGCTGGGACATGGATAGCACTGCATGTCATCAGCATACTGATGTCATCCCAGCCAGTGCTGCTGCTTCAGATAGATTTAGAGAGCATGGTGAATTAGGCAGCATTCAGTAGCACCCTCAAGCCAAAGGCCCGGAAAGGTACCAAATTCACTCACACCCTCATTTCATTAAGTCGTCATATTTATATCCCACCGCTCTTTCCTTCCAAGGAACTTACAAAATTCTCCTCCTCCTCTCAGTCTGATCTTCACGGCAACCCTGTGGATAGCTTGTGCTGAGACTCTGCGAGTGGCCCAGAGTCACCCAGTGAGCTCCATGGCTGAGCCCAGCTCTGCTGAGTCCCAGTCCTGCACTCTTAACCACCGAACAGCAAAACTGTGGCGTTACTCCTGATCACCCTCTGTGTGTGCCTCACGAGTGAGGCCAGGCAGTCTGGGCAGGATCCCATAGTCAGCTGTGCTCTTGCTTCTCGGTATTGTCCAAAAGCATAAAAACATGCAGCATTTTTAAAGAAGATAAATGGTTCGCATTCAGAATTAATATGACATCAACACAACTGTGTGTAAAAACGCACTATTTTGGTCTGAGAAGAATTTCACCGATTAGAACAGCGTACTATTTGCACCTCATCCTGCCATGTCTGCCTCCTAATACCGTTTTAGGAATCTTTATCACTTAAGACTGTAAATATGTTGTTGTTCTGTAACAGCCCTTTAGGTTGTGCGAGCTTGAAGGTTAATGTGGTATGATTTAAAAACTGCAGAGCAAATGGCATTCTTAGGGGAAGCTTGACAAGCTCTACGCAGTACAAATTGATTCTTGGCATAGTTTTTTCCCTCAGCATTCTCATCTGTCTGCAGAGAAGAGCAACGCAATCACAACCCTGACTAGCTAATTTTCATTTTGCATTTCTTATCTGAGCAGCTGAGTCGGAGGTTCAGCATTGATATAAGATTAGCTGTATATAAACATTTTTATAGACTCTGTGCTAGCCATTTTCAAACTGTGATTTGTAACACTTCACACTTAAAGGCAGGATAAACTCCTGCCCTTCTCCATTTTGGAAGCCCTGTAGCAGTAACATTGATTAGAGAAGTGAAGCAGTGGTGCACTTCCAAGGGACAGAATGGCTGCCCCTTAAAAATGCCAGCCTGGAGCTCTGTGATTCTAGGCTTTCCCCCACTTCGGCTGCTGCTATTAAAGGTCCAAGATGCTGGATAGTGGAAGAAAGGAAGCGGATCCACAGGAGAGTTGCTAAGCCACTGGAAGCACAGGAAGACAGGTTTTGCATGTGCAAAATTTTCTAGTCAGCATCGTGCTTCTTCCTTCCAGGGTTGGGCATTTCTAAGTTCTTTGTTTTTCAACAACAGAGACTTCACAGTACAGTCCATGTCTACTCAAAAGAGAGCTTCACTGAGCTGAGTGGGACTTAGATCTAAATAAGCATTTATGGGATTGTAGCTTTAAGCAGCTTTTCAGTGCGCCACTTTGGCAAGAGTGTGCCCACAGCTTGGATGCAGCCTCGCGTAAAGGTACCATGCATCGCTTATGAGATTTCAGTTTCTAAGGTTTCGAGCCAAATTACCCTGGAAGAAAAATTGAGTGAAATCAGTGCGACTCACCTCCAAGTACATTCATTTGGAATTGGTGATTAAATGTCTTGGAGTGGCAGTTGCAGCGACATCATTCACCATTCAGCTGTAAAGACGGTGCTTTCATTTTTCTGCCATTCAGGGTCTAGTACAAGGGGTCGTTGCAATGCCAGGCACCACAGGGCTGGTGTCAAGTAGTGAGCTGGCTCAATTATGGTGATATTATATGTGAAGCGTTTGGGCATCTGAAGGCTGCCGCAGTAGCCTTCCCTCCAAAGAACATCTCGGCAATTGCCACTAGCTGAAGGGTTGGAAAGGCTGGGATTCTGTGCCGACATCGCCAAGGGCCCCAGGCTGGGGGGAGCTGCGTGACACGAAAGTGCAGCGTAAGCATGAGCACTGGCATTAAATGTGCCGTTAACATCAAAGTCCAGTGAGACTGCTCAGAAGAGACGGTCATAAATTCACCTGGCTTTCAGTGCAGGTTCAGAAGGCTGTGGGAAGCCTCAGTCTGACACTGACTGGAGCCTTGGAACAGCCTCAGTATGAAATTAGGCTCAGCGAAGGTAAACCTACGGCCATTACTCTTGCCCATTGATTGAAGAATATTAACCTTGGTGTTCACTCTCTGATCAAAGAAGAAATTAATTATACAGATTGCCTGTCACCTGCCAGAAAACGTAGCTGGGAAAAGCATAGGTGTTCCCCATAAATAAGTAAGGGATTTTCATGGAGAACCATTCTGCACAGGTGAGGATGGCACCTTTCCAGCTAGCCCAGCAAGCAAGGCAAGGATGTGGCTTTACAGGCAGAAGCAGACTTGCCATGATTTGCTCTCCTCACAGTGCAGTGCTTTATGTCCCCCGGGGAGGAATAATTAGCCCTTTGCTTTTGTGGGGAAAAAAAAAGCACTGCTCTTAGGGACGCCCTGGCACTGGCCTTCCAGGCCGCACTAGCAGGGACTGCGCAAGAGACTCTGCTGCTCCCCCAGGTCAGCTCACACACTGCTCACTCCAAGCTTGCATGACAAGGACAATGAACATTTTAGCCGGTTCTCACGAATGTCATTCATAAATATTTGCTGCCAGCAATTCTATGCTCCAGTCAGTCAGTCAGTCAAATTCAATTTCCATAAATGATTTAAATTAAGCACGGTTGGTTAATTGATTCCACTTTTTCAAGTCAGAGTGAAGACCAAGAAGTTGAGACCTTACTTCAACCACTAGAAAGCCTCTTATGTCTCATTCTGGTACTCCAGATTTTTCTTGCAAATATTGCTCAGCCAGTTTCACTCCTTTCTTTCCAGTCATAAGGGCTAGAAACTTGCCTTTTTAAACAAAGCTCAGAAAGTAGATATGCGTTGCAGTGTTGTATTCTGCCCGCAGTACCATTGTCCTGTAGTATTTGCACTGCACCTCAGAATACTTGAACCCTGGAAAGCCATCTAGTCTAGTCCCACAGTGGCCAAAGCCAAGCATGTGCTCCCCTACTCAGTAACTGGTACTGAGAGCCCTTTTGCATCTGGTACTGGGAGTAATGCATCGCCTTCATGACTGAAATCCATTGATGCCGTATCCACTATACATTTGCCTAGTAAATACCTGCAGTATCAGGACTCCCTTCGCCCAATACATATGACAGAGAAATAGTACAGCCTTCTTCTGGTGGTTGCTCCTTCTGATTTGCATAGATATTAAAAATAGCAACTGCACTCTCATGCTGCCAAATTGGCCAGTTTATCCTCCAGAGCTGATGACTGAAGAACAGAATGTCATTGTTGAGCAAAGTAGCTTCGGGGCAGTTCTTTACATTATCCCGGTATTGCAGTGTGAATTACAGGGGAAAGTAGAGATATGCCACATAATGACTTCCCTATTACATCCCCTATAAACTGTCGGGGTCAACAAGTCGGGGCGGCTGCACGCCGTGCTTCTGTCGCAAGGATGTCAAAAGCACTCGCTGCACTGTGCATAATCTCTTCAGAGGGTATTAGATTTTATCCATGGCAGCAGGCAAGACGGAAGCCCAGATGGCCATCCAGTTCGTAGGGCCAGGTGGAGAACGGAGTGTGTCAGCAGTCACCAAAGGAGGGTGTGTGCTCTCCGCACAGACATTGGAAATAGTTTTGCCTGTCTAACGCTGATGTGTCTTTGCATCTGAAGGAATTAGGTGGAACGAAATCCCTTTGTAGCCGCTGAAGATATGATCCAAATTTGTTAATATAATCTTGGCGTTCCTTTGCTGACTGCCATAAGTTAGCATCTCATTGAATTACAAGGCAGTTCGTCATATCAGCAGTGTGAGAACAGAGCTGAGTTCCAGACAGCTTTTGTACTAGTTTGCTGCCATCACACAGTTTTTATGGTGTCAGCCTTACAGAACATGTAAGTTATTAAAGCAGGAGAGAGAGATGCATTTTATAGTCTCTTTTTTGGCCTTTCGTAGCATGTAGCACTGGAATTTCTCAAAAGACAGTAGGTGCTAAGTTATTAACCTAAAATACCTCAGGCAGAAGTAGGTGTCACTGATCTCACAGCTGACAAAAATTAGCACACTGCAACACTACCTTTCTGCTGGCGAAGTTGCTAGCAGTGCCAGTACAATGCTACAGTAACATTGTGTTTGGTAGTTTCAGTAATTGCGAGTTTCAGTGACAAATAACTTGCTGGCATCGTAAGCTTTCTGCTCTGTGTCATCTGTCCGTCTTGAGTAAATTGGCTCCATTGAAGCAAAAGGCACTGCTCATACCGCAGAAATGGACTTTGGTTCAAGAACTTCTCAGCAGACTGTTACAAACCGAAAAATGATCAGATGTCTTTTCACAACTATACACATGACTGTAGGATTCGACCGCAAAATGCAGTCATCAGCCAAAATAGGTTCCACTGCTATTTAAAATATTTGAGGTGATCAAGATGAATCTTAGGTCTGCAAGCCTGGAATTTTTCATTGGGCTTTACTGATTGCACAGACTGTAAACAGCCCTTCCCCTGGGGACACCATTGCCAAAGGACGTACCTGCACAGTTTGAAAGATAAGGCAGGTGTAGCAGTGGGATAGGATGAACTAAGATAGCATTTCTATTTTGGCTTGCTATTTTAAGCAACCTATATTTACCTCTGTGTCAAGGCATTTGCTCTTGAGGGGATTTTTTTTTCTTTCCTCCAGGTTCCAAGCAGATTTATCACAATTCCCATAAAGTCTGTGGTTATTCACTGGTTTCATTCTGCAGAATGCACCATTCTAAGATATTGGCATGTGGCAACAGTTCTGCCCCACTCCCCTCCTCTGCTGTGCAATGTTGCGGTTCTTGCTTGCAGGCACGGCACTACCAAGACAAAGTGGGGTGCGTTCAGAAAGTATGGGGCACCAAGAGGGCATGCAGGTTAACATCAGTAGCTCAGTTTGTGTCACATCTGTTAAAGGCCCCCCTACCTACAGACTGACAGTGTGTGAAAACCAGCACAGGCAACTATTGCAGTAAAATCTTTTGGCTTTATGTTGTATTGCATTGCGCACAGACATGTCAAGCAAGGCACTAAACACAAATAATGCATTGTAAATCTGGCATTGAGATCTGCAGTGATTTTATGATAGTCTATTGACTATCAGTTCTGTTGCTGAAGTTGCAGTAAGCACTGCTTTTTCATGACACTCTCAGAAATCAAAAAGGACTGGATGTTTTCATTTTGCTATTTAATAAGAGACTGAACATTGTCTTCTGGGTTAAAGTCTTTCTGAATTTATCTGATCAAGACTAAAAAGAATTGCAGTCCCATTATAGATATCGCAGCCCTTTTACAGTGTTTTACTTTGGAAGTGAGAAATACAAGGGATTTTTAATTAGACAGTAATGCATGTCAGGAAGAACATTCTGTACTTTTGAAAAAACAAGGCTCATTAAGGACTACTCGCCTGTGGTGAGTATAAATTGTCTCCAAGTGACCTGACAATTTTTGTTAATTGATAGGAGGAGGAGAGTGGTCATTGGGTCTTTTTTCCTCCTGTGCCATAAACTTGCTTCATATGATTAGTGCATGTACATGTGGCTTATACAGTTGTGTGTGTGTGTGTGTGTGTGTGTGTGTGTGTGAGAGAGAGAGAGAGAGAGAGAGAGAGAGAGAGAAACTTTCATGGGCTTATTCACAAGGGTGCTTGAATAATAATGACTAATTCCTACTATGTGTCTGCAAAGGAAATTCTTCACTTCTTTTGCTACAGCAAACTGAAAGTATTTTGGCAGTTTCTGAGTGAGAAGCTATAGTACAGCACATTGCGTAACCCTGAACTTTTGGGGTGTGCAAATTCTGGAGCTTTAAACTTGCTGCACTGTCATTTCCATTTGCCATGCATGCAGATATGCCAGAGGAACAGCTACTATGCAGATAAGCCAACTAGCAGGAATTAGAATCCCTGAACAAGCACATTCCAGTTACTGCAAAAAGCCCTTTGCAGCTGATACAGCCATCGAGATAGGTATCCTAAGCAAAGTGATGGGCATATTTGAAATGGCACCAAGAAGGACCTCTGACAAGGCCAAAGATGTTTAACATTTTCTATAAGGAAGATTTGGATTTTGTTGGAAGCCAGGCCAGTGTCTTCCACAATCATCAGACTAGCAAAGCACAGAAGAAAGCAAAATAAAAAGTTCCCACTTAAATAGCTCACAATTTCCTTGTCCTTAGATTCTGTTTTTCCAGGTTCTAAATGTTAGACAGCATCCTCTCCAACGTAGGGAGTAATTTGAGCATCACTGTGGTTAATGAAATTGCACCCTTACGTCAGTGTGAAAGCAAAGAGGAAAGCACAGATTGTGTCCACTGTCATTAGAAATGCTTATTAATGCTTAATAAATGCTACCTTGGCAATTTTTGGTCATTGCAGGGGGTTGGTTTTTTTCATTACAAGTCCCCCCACCTCAGTAAAAAAGTAATAGTTGTGTTTTCTACTTTACTGAATTTCGCATCCATGTGGTTCTTTTGTTAAAGGATGGCCAGTCCCGAACAGTGAGACAGTTCCAGTTCACAGACTGGCCGGAACAAGGAGTGCCAAAGTCAGGAGAAGGGTTTATTGACTTCATAGGCCAAGTTCATAAAACAAAAGAACAGTTCGGACAAGACGGGCCAATCTCAGTTCATTGTAGGTAAGTAAAAGAAACTGATGTGCTACCAGTTTGTTCATCCTTGATTAAAAGCTTGTTTGAAATGGCAACAGTTACAATAATGGTTCCTATGAGATGCTAACATAAAGATATGTGGACACTGTACATGCAGCATTTCCGCAGCTTTTGTGCTTCCTTGCGGATCATAGGAGGTTAGAATGCAAAAGCTGTACGCGTCGGCCTTGTCGCGCCACTTAAGAACCGTTTGAACAAACTGTCAGGCTTCATAGAATGCTGTGTGGACACATAATTCCTTGCATAGCCAGGTGGTGAGGGGTTCGGAAATGGTTGAATGAACTGGGTGTGTCCATCTGGGAGAAGGGAAGGTTATGGGGAGCTATTATAGTAGTTTCCAAATACCAGAAAGGCTATTCTGCAGAAATGGCCATTGCGCTCTATTGCTTCATCATTTCTACTACCTTTCTGTTGCTCTTGACTAGAACAAATGGGTAGAAATGGCAAGGGAGCAGATTTTGCCAAAATATTAGGAGATGCATCCCAGTGATGGGAGTTACCTGGCACTGGAAGAGGCTGCCACAGGAGGTGATGAGTTCTTCACTGAAGATGCTTAAGAGCGATGTTTTAGGATACTGGAGTTGGTTTCTGCATTGCAAATCTGCCACTCAGCTGAAAGTTGGAGATGTCTTCCAGAGTTCTTTCCAAGGCTATGATCCTATCATATGTAGAGAGATGATAATCCAATGACTGGATAATGGATGTTGTTTATATTTTTCATTTTGATTTTGATTGCTTTGGGACAGTTTGAGCATATTACAATATCTACCAAATAGCTAAGCCTACCTTCTATTTTCTCTTATTTAATCACTTGCCTTCTAAATCCCAATATGGATTACAATTTTAATTTCACAAAGGTGTACTTGACTGTGTGTTTTCTGTAATAAAAACCCACTCCCTGCAGGTGGAACCCATACCTCATCAGAAAAGAATTAAAAGGCAAAACATTATAAGCAACAGAAAAACCAGTGGAGGTTCTTGGGCACGAATGAATGTACCCTTGATCAGCTCTCCCACTGTGGCTCTCAGAGGCAATAAGATGGTTTAAGCACCCATGTTATTTGCACATCACCTTTCCTCATAAGCATGTGATCCAGAGGTCAATGATACCCAAAGGAAGTCGGTTCATCAAGCTAGATCATTCCATTCCATCCTGTCCTGGCTGTGTATCAAACAGAGTGACAGGCATCACGTCAGAGGCCCTCCATTGTTAGAAACAATATCAGGAAAACTTGGAGATAGTGACATAAATTTGCAGGAATAGGAACAGGTGGGAGAATTTAGGGCAGACTCACAAGCAGCAGATATGAAGAGAGATGCAGTAAACACTTCCTCTTCTGCTCTCTTCAGATTACAAAAGCTCTGCTAAACCTCAGGAAGGAGTGTAAGCATTCTTGGGCTCAGTTGGAAATGTAGCATTGGCTGGGAATGATGAAAATTGCTGTCCAACACATCTGGAAGGTTTCAGATTGGGGGTGGCTGGAGTACTTCTTTGGAACTTTATATTTCAGCTTGTGTATCTGGACTGGTCATTGTATTCATTGCCAGGGTCCAGTCTTGCCAGTGCTGCTTAGTGCTTCATGTTTCCCCTTTTGGACAAAACAACAACAACCATATTTCCCATTCCCAGATATAACTAGGTAGGGATAAATGTAAATACTGCCCCTTTGAAACCAGCTGATTCAGAGTCAGGTGCATTGGGCAGCACTTCTGTCGTGCATCAACCCAATGGATTGGATTTGGCTTTTGGATTCCTCTGGCTTGCAAGTGGGGATGAGCCTTATCAGTGGCACCCAAATAAGCTGCACGAATAACCAGGCTCCTCTTGGAGCCTGGGGCAGCATACAAGTGTAAGAAAGAGTGAGTGAGTGAGTGAGTGAGTGAGTGAGTGAGTGAGTGAGTGGGTTAGCCATACTAGAAAAGTGACATTTTATTGATGTATTAATTCAGTTCACCTTTGACTTAAGATTGATTAAAGCTTCTCTTTCTGACTCTCTTTCTTTGAAAATATGTCATACTGTTTATATTTCCTTGCCTGGCAGAAGCACACTATAGATTTTTATGTAGAGTTTATCAAAGTATTACATAGTAAATTAACATTTGAAACTTTTGAGATCTCCTATGTTATTCAGTGTTCATTACTATCTGCCCGTTACGCCCTGCAGTCTTCAAAAAACCACCTGGTGAATTAATTTTATCATCTTTTATGATGTAAATTTCATATATAAGTGTCTTAAAAGTACTGAACATATGTGAAAGTGTATCAGTTTTCAAGCTTCTTTATAGTAGGGTGAAAAAATGCAGACAACAGACTTTCTTCTTCAGTAAAACTTTCCCAGATATTTAATTGTATAACAAATTGTTCTTATGTTAATAGGATAAACTAATTAAAAGAAGCAGCAAGCATCTGTTCCTAACATTACCCCTATAATTTCAGTAGCTATGGAGTTGGGAAAGGTCATCTTACTTTAGCTACTGACATGGGTAGGACTGAGACAAGAATTGACAGTGCTATGCCTTCTTTTTCTTTTCATTTTGAGCTTATTGGCAGTTTAGCAAAGTCTGTCATGCAGTTTCTACAAACTAGTGTTAAATCACTATTTTAATTTTCAACGTTGTCACACCAAACTTTAAAATGCATCTTCAGACTGTAACATTTTGCCCTGTTAGTCATTCCTACCATTTTTCAGTGTGCAGCCGGCCACACTCCCAGCTTGACAACCTGTTAGGATGGTTTCTCTGTGTTACAGATCTGTGGGTAGCAACCAGTCATGCTAACCTTTTAACAGAAACAAGGAAAAGTACATTTCTCAGATCTGAGTCTCAATTTCTCAAGCTAAATTCCTGTGCAGGGTCATTTTACTGAAAGAATATTGTTCCACTTCCTTATTCTCTTCTGTGTCAGTTGTGCTCACGTGTTACAATGAAATACCTACGGTAGGAGCAGACATGTTTAATAGCACTTGTGATAAGGTTGTTCTGGTTTCCACTACAGCATATGAACCACTCGGTAGTTTGAATACGATGCCCCTTGAAGGGGGCTTCAAGTCCTTTCTGAATATCCAGCATTGCATTTTCTGGGCCATCTGACTGTCAGAAAACATATATTTTGAAATACTACAGTTTCTATATATTGATTGAACATCACTGCATACGCATACACTGTAGCTAAAGTTCAGCAGCCAGCCAATTATGTGCTGCTTTTTCTTTCTTAATTCAACAGTGCGGGTGTTGGAAGGACTGGAGTGTTCATAACCCTGAGTATCGTGTTGGAAAGAATGAGATACGAAGGTGTTGTAGATATCTTCCAGACTGTCAAAATGTTAAGGACGCAGCGGCCAGCCATGGTGCAAACAGAGGTGAGAGAAATAGTAATCTGCATATATGGCCAAAAAATAAGTGATCTATAGTCTTGTGTTATTTCATTAGCTTTGTCGGTATTTTTGTAGTGCAACCAAAATAAATGTTTACCATCAGACTATTCTCTATCTTACTTTTAATCGATTTTAAAAACCACATTTTCCAAAGGAAAAATGCCAAGAATAGCAACAGCATGCCGAGCAGCCAAAATATGCCAGCGTTCCCTTCTATCAACAAAAACAGATTACCAGTCATGGGAAAGTGAAGGCCGTTTCAGAATTATTTAAACCTCTGACAATGTTGCTCCACCTCGGCATAAGATCTTAGCAGCCTAGTTCTCCTGGTCTTAGTGATGTCTTCTGCTGAAATATGCTTGTGGCAGTGAAGCCTTATGGAATGGTAGAATTGGAAGGGGCCGTGAAGGGCCATGCCATGGTCCTTGAAGGATCCCCAAGTTGGCGGAGGGGTGGAAGAGAGAGAGAAGATACTGCATTTCCTTGCTGCCCACTCACTGGGTTGCTAACCACAGAGGGCCATACTTGGCTAGTTGATTGGTTGGCCGTACATGTGTATTTTTTTCTGCACTGTGGGATTATATTTGGTATGGCTAACACAATTCAACTGGGACACCTGTGCATTTTCCTAGTGTATGTTCTCTGTTCTTTAGATTCACTTTCCATGACCTTTGTAAGCCTGTGCAGAGGGAACATTCACACATCACACGAAACCAGCCTGGCTATAAGCCACAGCGGCTCCGTAAACAACCCACAGTGTGCACAAAAGAGGACTGGGCTCACTGTGGGTTGCTTTCCCCTCCCTCTGCCCTGGGGACATGCTGCAAGGACATCTTAGCTCCCCATCCCAGCCAGGATCACAGGCCATTTCTCCTCCGCTGCCTCCCAGCATTGCCCAGCTAGTCGTCCTGAATCCCACAGTCCTGCAAATGCAGCAAACTTTTATTGAGTGTGGCTTGAAGGATCTAGGGGTTGGAATCCATTGGCACCTCTCTTCTTTTGGAGCTCCATCTTCGGCCTCTGAAAGAGAGAGAAGCTTCCCCCTCTACCCACCCTAACTTCCAGGCATGCTGTCCTCAGGCCATGAGATTTTTTGATTTGAGATTTAAATCAAACCACCTTGTGGTCTTGCTAATAGTGATAGGAAGCAACACTTACACAAAAAAACAAGCTGTCTTTTAGTCCTTAAACACTTCATGCCAACCAGCACAGCTTCTCCCTCTTTCTGCATAAACAGACTGGCCAAAATCCTCTTGATGGCCATATCTTGACTGTCAGCCTCACTGGAATCCCCAGCCAGTCTGAATTGAGTTACTTGCCCCAGACCCACTTACCGTGATCCAGAGACAGCCTCCTTCCCTGTCTCTCCTTCAGAATGTCACCCAGAGACTACGGTGCATCTCCTTGTCATCTGCAAAACGAGGCCCCGGGCCCACTGATGCACCCTGCCGCCATTACCGCCTTGCAGAGGGCACACCAAGTACCCCTCGCAGGAGCGCCGTAGTTCTAGGCAGGCAGTTCTTCATGGGTCAGCAGGGCCTTTCAGTTCCTCAGTGCTGAAAGGAGACAGACCGGCGGGGGGCGGGGGAGTCCACGGCTGTTAGGTTTGCAGCAGGGGGCTTTGGGAACTTGCCCGGGAAGGGTTGGCACTGGATTGAGGGGTGGATTGCTTGCCTAGAAATAGGCTGAAAATAGAAAAAGCCTCTTGAAAGCTGTTCACACTCTTTTTAATGAGTCATATAAAATGTTAGCTAATAAATAACCGTGACTTAGAAAGATTTGCAAGTAGTATTATCCAGGCACATGTGTCGGGGAACCAAGATTTTCTACGGGATCCAGGATTTGCTCTTGCTCAGAACTGGAACTCTGGTTAGCACATATTAAGGCCAACCAGGGTAAGAGGCTGACCAGGTAGGAGTTGTGGGTGGCTGGGTGTGTTTGGCCAAGGGGCAGGGGATATGTGCGTCTGTGCTCCTCTTCATCAGTATGAAAAGGTGGCGTGTTCTGCACAAACCAAGCCTATAAGTGGAAAACAAAAAACCTGTCGTTATGTTAACCTCTCTTTTTCTTTCTTCTCTTCAAGGATCAGTATCAGTTCTGCTACCGAGCCGCACTAGAATACCTGGGCAGTTTCGATCACTATGCAACGTAAAAAACCCTGACCTATCCTGGATTTTTAACTGCAGGCCCTTTAAGATCCAGAGGGCCTCTTCTGAGCCATACGGTGTGCTTGAGAAGTACTTCTTAACTCCTAACTAAAGACCAATTAGTGGGAATTATTAAAAGGAAAAAAACTGTTCCAGGTGGACCAACAATTCACAGTTCAATAAACCTATCCAGAAACATTAAAAAAAAAGAATCCTGACTGGATGAGGCATCTGAAGGATTTTATTTTACAGATACCTCAAGGATTTGGCTTGGGTTAAAAGGAAAGGGAAGAAGAAATTCCTGCAAAGAACCTTCATCTTGTTCAGGATTGCATGATAGTGAACTACGCAAATCTTAGGAGTACTGCAATTCAGTGCAAGATGTTTGTCCAAAGGCCAGACCTGGCTTCTCTTAAAGAAAGTGGACCCTTTGCTTCAAAGTCTCCCCTTTCCACCATATTGCTCATAAATAACACTTTGGAGGGTGGGAGGGAAAAGGGCGAATGTTTAAAAAGAAAGTCCTTGATTTAGTTTTTTAGTATTGTAAAGATACTGCTGACCTGTGCTTCATTTTTAACTGTGTAAACTTTTTCCTTTTTTTTAAACAAAGGTTTATCATTCAATGAAGTAAATTTAAAAAAAAAAAAGTTGCATAATTTTTTTTTTTTTTTTTTTTTTGATTTCCAGAATTGTAGATTTTTTTATGCTGTAGAACTGTTACCTGTAATATCTCGCTGTAGAAATGTTAAATAATTTTGAAAATTTGCACATTTTTGTGCAACCCTATATTTATCTCCAGGACCACATTCTCATTTAGATATTGCTTTATCTTTTGATTTTTTTAAATGAAATATAGATCAGTTAATCTACATATGGAAGTTTTGGTTTTGTTTCTTTTGGAATCAACAGGGAAGCGCAAAGTATAAAGCTGCTACTAACACACAGACACACACACACCTTTCTCTATCTATAAATATATTATATCTCTCTGAATGTCTCTCTATCCATCTACAATAATAATGTAGATAGATAGACAGAAATGCACATAAATATAAATAGATGCATATATAGATACACGTATCAGTTCTTCCATGATTTGGATTTATTAAAGCAGTTGGGGGTGGGGGAGGGTGGGATAAAAATGCTACTTTTGGTCCATACAATATTTCTTCACATCTTTGCATTTGTGTTGGAGAGATTTGCTTTGTTTTCCGTTTCCCGGGGAAATGAGGAATGCACATCAGTGATACTTGAAACCTGGTCCTACCCAGACATAGAGGACTGAAATCATGTGTACACACATCAGTCACATCCACACACACACACACACACACACACACACAACCACACTTATCATGTTAAGCTTCCAGTGAAGTTTGGTATTTGTAACACCTTTTAGTGCAATAACAAACCATACTAAATATAGGAAGTGTGCATGTGGGAAAGGTCAGTGCATATCCCCTTTAGGAGGGGAGGATGTTGTAATATAATAGTTGTCGAGATGTTTTAAAAATGTATTCACTCGTATAATTGTCTATAGTATACGGTACGACATTTGCATTGATGCTGTATAATGGGGCAAAGCCAAACTCATTTTGCTCTGTTAAATCAGAACTATTTGGTGGCATACAGCATTCATTAGAAATGCTGGACTTTTTATTTTAATTTTTGCATTTAGAGTGCCTTATATTTGATGCCTATTTTGATAGCATTTCTTCGAGTTTGTTTTATCTGTATCTGCATTAGTTGAATTCATTTTTCTCTGTTGCTCTTTACCCCCTTCTACAATTAAAGTATTATATTTTCAGCACGTGTACAAAGAGGTCTTTTAACAATATGCATTCCTGGTGATTACCCAAGTGTTCAGTGTCAATAAATGTTTATCCAAAGCGCTTGGGTAGTCAGGGGCCCTTTATCTAATGGAACTCCCAGCAGCAGGCAGTGTGTGGTTCCTCCCAGCCTGGCATTGTAACCATTGCATTGTTTTTTAGATGACAGCAGCAGGATTCTCCTAGTACTCATAGGAGCAGCAAATAAAATGGGTTTTGACTCACACTCGTGCATATGTATTTCATTGGAGGCCAAGGCATGTTCACTTTACTCAGGCTAAAAGGCCTCCTGAAATCAGCTGGGTCCTGCAAGTGGACATAGGTCAGACATGTAGATCACAAGAGATTTCTCCTTAAGGACGGCACAAGGCATTGCCTGAGATGCTGTAACGGAAGCCATTTGCTCTTGCATCGGTCTGGGTTAAGCCTGGCACCATGTTAGAACACAAATATCAATGGAATTCTTAGATGTGCTTTAAAATATCACCAAGGAAATGTTTAGCTTCTATTCACTTAGCATTTATTTTTGTCCATGTTTTCCATTACTACCAGAAATAGATATATTAAAAGACCAAACACTAGAAAGCATTCTATTTGAGCACTTTTATATATATATATATTAAAAACATTGAAAAGCGTAAAAATGGAAAAAGTTAAACGTATATATGTATAATAATTAAAAAGTATTATAGAAGGCTACCTCAGAATGAGATTCTCTAATTTACATCAGAATCAGACATGAATGTGCACTATTCATGTTTCTGTTTATTTTTTATTTGTTTCTGTCAAAGGAATATTCAAAAGTGCCAGATTACATAGCGAACTCATGCTTTTAGCCAAAAGTACAGTTGACAACACTCACCAGTGGGGAAAAAAACCACTCCATTGTAGAAGCCTAGCAGGAAGGCATGACTGCACAGGGGCTTTCTCTGGTCTTGCTTTCAAAATTAAGCACAAAACTGGAAGCACAAGAAGCAGCGCCCCCTTCCACGTGGAGTCACCATTTCCCCCAGGGTTCGTTTTGTTCTTGCTCTCCACGGAACAGCGCAGTGGTCCTCCCGGGCTGTGAAGTGGGGCCATGTGGTCTGGGGGAACCAGAGGTGCGTGGTGGAACTCCAGAGGAAAGTCCCTTGCAGGCATGCCCTAGGAGCCAACGGCTCCGGAGAGCTATCGACAGAGCAGGCCTTCTTCAGAAAACATTCGGTCTACGAGATGAAGTTGCTAAACAGGTCACTAGTGAGGGGCAAAAACTTCACAGGTCAAACAATACTAGCCACACATGTTCCCGTCCAAACTGCTATTCAGGAGTTGCATCTGAAGAGAACTCGATTCTAATCATTGATGTGCATTCCATTTCTGTGACTTTGCCGTGCAGTGATTTCTCTGTTCCTTTTTTTAAATTAGTTGGTCTCATTATCTGCCATTTGCTGAGCTCAGAATTTGGTTTCATCAGCATAATCAGTACGGTGCTATTATTTACCTATGTATGTGTAGTTATGTATAATTTTGTAATTAGTTAACAATGGAGAAATACGCAAAATATATAAAATTATTTGTACAGAACTTTTATTTTAGCTCTTTTTTAATAAAAATGGTTTGCATGGTTAGACGTTGGTGAGGATGGCTTGGGGAAGGGAGGGGCTCCTCGAGGGAGGTTTGCACTTTCTATACCTTTGTACTATGCACTGCCCTATTGATTCTACACCCAATAGTATTATTACTTGAACCCATCTGTAAGAAAACTGCTTATGAAAATCCACTTGTGTGTATGTAAATAACACAAAACATGTTAAGGGGGGGCATTTGCAAGGGCAACAACAAAATGCAGGTTCCCCCCCTTTTTATTCCCCCTTTACACTTTTAAACTTTTTGTTTTTAACTGCCCTGATACTCCCGATGGAATATCAGAAGACCGCAGATTCCGTCATCCATCTTGTTCCGTGGCGTTGCCATTCAAGCTTGGAGTGTCTTTACAAAGATAATACAAGTTGTGTTCTTTGCTCTCGTTTTGGATGCCTAGACTGAAAAATTTAAAAAAATTACCTTGTAAAATGGCTTGTTAAAAAGAAAAATACAATTACCTCTAATTAGTAGTACGCGTAAATGTTTTACAGAATGAAAGGCGTGCTTTTTATTTTCTTACTTCGTTACATTGGTGGCGAAAGAAAGTCTGTATGAAAATCAGTTCTTTGCTGACACAAGTTCCATTTGTTACAAATGAATTCTAATAAAACTGTCAGTGTTATGCAGCTCTGGTTGTCTTTCCTTAAGCCTCACTTTCTGGAATCATGACACATTCTCTGGTTCAATCAAATGCCCAGAATATCAAGATTATGGCTGTCTGGATTGTACCGGACTGCAAAACAAATGATCCTGAGCACTATTGCTGAGTGAGCACTTCTCATTTTGACCTCAGCTATGTGTAATCTCAGCATCTTCTGAAACATGGCATGATTCTGCTTCTTAATCAAATCTTTATGGGTGTAATGCTTTGGCCTCTCATCATTGTCTGGTGGTTGGACACACAGGATTATTTGAAATCTTATCTCCAAGATCAGTGATGTT